CACATTAAAAACCAACTTTTTTGAGTTATTTTTGCTCTTAATTTTACTAGAATCTAAAGTGAGCTTTCCATATAGGTCATGGCCATTGCACCAACACATTATATTTGGCAACGAGAACGTTCTGTACATCACAGTGGAGCTGTTAGAAACTACAACAGAGAGCAAGTTCAGCTACCCCGGGGACCTAGTGCCACTCCAGTAGATTGCTCACTCTGTGGTAAAAAAGGAAGATTCGTTCGACTTGGATTATCTTCATCATCATCTTCATGCAGTGACACGGGAGGGCTGATGGAAAGACAGTCTCGGGAATCCCACAACCCATTATCCATGGACACAATAGGTGATCCTTCTCACTCTTCTAGTTATTCTCAAGGTATGATTTAGTAATAAGACAGAATTAGATTTATATGTTATTTATTCAGCTGTAGTCTATACTTGCAAACAAGGATACATCATAATTTGTACACTAAGCAAGGAGTTAAATTATGGAGTTTTCCCCTTTAGGTTACCACTTTTTGTCTTGTTTCTGCATCTGCTTTGTGATATCCTACATAAAATGATTTTTATTATGACATGTTAAAGTGAGACCTAGTGCACCAATATTAGAACTTGAATTATTTCTTTGAAATGTTTATCCAAAAAGAATTTGAAGAAGAAATAAATTTATTTATAATCTCACCATCCATTTGTTTCCTTCTGTATACTTACCTATTTTTTAAAAATGTATTTGGTTGTTACAGGATTTCACTGCACAGCTTGGATTCATAGTGATCCTCCTGTTTTCAGCCTCCCCACTGTTGGGACTACAGGCATGTGCCACTATGCCCAGAATCTAGCAGGCTCAGCCCGCCCTGGGGATGGGGCTGGCATGGCATGTGGTGCCAAAGATTGAACCATGGTCCCTGCGCTTGCCTAAGCTTGCCTAAGCAGGCACTTTAATCCACTGAGCTATCTCACCAGCCTCTACTTGACTATTTCAAACAAAATTGGAACTGTCTGTATATAAGCCAGCTTTTTTGCTGTGTATCACAAAGCATTTTACCATGTCATCATCTAATCTTTGAAAGCTTCATTTTTAATCCTGACATGGTATACATGCCATGATTCATTTACATATTTTAAATTTGTGTGTGTGTGTGTGTGTGTGTGTGTGTG